GGTTCTCATCTCTGAATAGACAGGTCCTGCTGGCTGAAAATGGCACCTCAATTTTTTACAGAGAGGAAATACATGACAGGGGTTGCACATCAATGACACCAGTGAAACCCTCAGGAGCAGAGATATTACCACTCCAGCTCTAATTTGAATGGCTTCAAATTACTTCACATAGACACACACACACAGAGCCTGATAATTCTTTACATGACAAACTTCTAAAAAACAATAAACATTATAAGCACAACAGCAAGCTACGTTGTATTTGTAATAAAATCTTTACCTTCTATACCTTTTAATTCTAAAATAGTTATCCTGCACACTGTCTTAAACTCTTCACTCTCTTCAGCAAGAGGCCAACAGACCAAACACTGACAAAACACAGCTGTGCTGTTGGGAACAAAATGCCAGGGAATCCATCCTGCAAAGGCAGCATTTCCACTGACATAAATGGGAGAAAGACAGAGCTGCTGGGGAATAGAAGTTGCAGAATTACAGGATACATTCCAGAAGCCAACTTCATATATATCCTAAATGCTGTCTGATGTTGCATATGCACACACATGTATACATGTATACACAAATAGGTACCAGTCTAAATATATGAGCATAATGTTTGAACTTTTAATATAATATGCACTTTTAAAAAAGTACATAAAATAATCTACAATTTAGCTTAGTCACTGACAGGTGAGAGGGACACATTTATTTTATTGAACTAACATTTGGCTACAGATACAGCTCACAGACTTGAGTTGCATGGGCAAAAAATGATGAATTATGTTGCTCTCAACATTTTCTCCCAGACAGAAAACTTATTTTAGGTTTCTGTATTGTTCTTTCAATGCAGTTGAGGAGTCACAACAAAGTCACTCTTCTGATCTCAGAAAAGTGCTGTGTATTCTTTCCATATGGGGTATCCAGTGTTTTAAAGGAAAGCAAAGGATACCATGCAGTCAAGTCAGCACTGAGTGGAAAGGTACCTGACTCAATTTCTACTCACTTAGACAATCCCTGAATTCACCTCTTCAGTGGAAGTACAGAACCATTTCTATTTTGATATGCCCTCTATTGGGACAATACTCTTGCAAGAAGATCCTTAATTAGATCATTACTGGTTACTATAATCTGCCCAGTGCAGAAGTAGCAGTGGAGATTTTAAGGATGCTTTAATATTCAAAAAAATTAGAATAAGTCCAGTAAATAAGTATTATTACTTAACCAACAATCTGAAAGTGAGATACCAACACAGCACCAACAAAGGTTCCGAATCTAAATGTAAGGGTTTGTCTTAAATTAAGCAATATTTCTATGCAAGAACATTCAGGTAACCCTTTGCAACCAAGTGTTATGTCTGTACAGAGCTTCTCATTGTGAGCTTCACACAACTGGGCACACTCCAGACTTGGAAATGAGCCTGTCCTTTGGGCACTCCTGACAGGAAGGCAGGAGTCACAAAGACTTAAATTGAGACGATGGAAGGATGAGTTCAAAAGATCCAAAGTACCTGAAGGCTTGCTAAAAGGCAAAAATCTATTTCATGCAAGAAAGATCATAGTTTGAAATAACAAATCTTGGTATATACAGTTACATGTAAAATACTGAGCAAGTCAGAATCCAGGTTGGTACATGGGGAGTATTTTTTAAATTAGAAAATTGAACAGTTCAAGTGTTAAAAATACTCTTGAAATTGGTCAGTTTTAAATAAAATTATCTGCAGTTTAAAAAAGAAGTACAAAATATATCATGAGTATATGACATTTCTCTTATACACACAGTGCAAAGAGAACAAATATATTTCTTGGTTTTGCTCAAACAGAGCATCAATAAACTGAAATAAGAATACTGATTCTTGCTAGGATTACTTATAAGGATTTTGACAACTATTTCCTACCAGCACCAAAATATCTTTAGTAGAAGATATACAGCATGGGGATTAGTATATATGAAAAGTAATACCTGGAATTTTGCAAGCATTATTATATTTTCCTGTGGCTCTAACTTGGTTCAAAGCAACATTTATAAATCAAATTCTTTTCTTCATTGCTTTATGTTGGTTCTAACTTACTAAGTTCAAATGTTAAACTAATACACTGAAAATGAGGTTACCAACCTGAAAGGCAAATACTCACTCTTCTTTGTAATTGAAAAAAAGTTACTTGTCCAAAGCAGTATTCCTTCCTCTTCTCAGTTAATTTTCAACTAATTGGTTTTCTGTATATTAAATTTATGTTTCCTAAAGCATTAAAGTTAGTTTCTAATCCTATATACATAACTCATTGAAAGATCATGAACATGAACTCTTAAGATAAATTGTCCCGACTGAAGGTAAACAAACGAAAGGCAAAAATACATTTAAAACATCATAATTAGAATGAATATATTATATCCTGAAAATATTGGTTTATAACTGTTAAATATTTTCAAATTCCACTGTATATATGTAATAATACTTGATTTTCTGACTTTTTACAATCCTCAATCATCTGAAATTCTGCTTTCCTTTTGTATTTTCCCAACATCAAACTCTGCAACTTTGCATTTGAACCTGATCTGCCTTCACTTCTACTGCAGTAACCAGGAAAACTGTGCAGGAAAATTAATACTTCCCCATATGTTTTTCTCCATTATCTCTTCTAGTCAAACTCCCTTCTCAAAGCTCCAATATTTTGCATAGCAAAACACTGGACAGTATTTGGTCACTCTGAAGGAGTGATTCTAGGTCATTCTGTAGAATGTGGTGTCCTCTTGTGGTCTTGGAGGTTCCCTAAATGTGAGATGTGTCACTGAACACCAAATTTAGAGCTGGCATCAATTACAGCAGGAGCTTCCAATGCCACCAACATTTAGAATCACCTTCATCAGCCTCACAGTACCAAATACTAAAGACATGCAATGAACAACAGCATTCAGGTACAGACCTGAAGGATATAAAAGCACCCACACCACCTTCCAAAAACTGTAAAACAGTGATTTTCAGCTATTTACACATGGAGGACAATTTTTTTACCAATATGTTATTTGGGCATCTAATAACACTGAGGATCTGTAAAGGATATGAAAACCGTAGATTGACGTAAGAGACACTTTTGTTAGCAGAGTTCAGCTACTGAAACTGCTCTTCAGGCACTGATTCAAGATTGTAATGATTAATCTAGGAACAGGAAGACAGCTCCAATTCTATCAGAAACAGTGTAACTAATATCAGAGAGAAAAAATACCTATTGAAATCCAAGTGCATATCTAAAAGGGAACGTGCTTTGGTAGCCCCTGAAGTTAAAAAAGCAGCATGAAAAAAGTAGTATTGGTAATATCTCTTCTAATGTTTATTGCCAAACATTTGCATGTGTAACATCCTGCACAAACCCCTCATCCTAAACTGAAAGTTCCACAGAATTCCATGACAGACACACACCCGTATGAATTAATTAATTTTACACTGATATTTTTAAACTTTCCTTTTAAACCTTCAACTTGCTCTGCCATGGAAGGGAAGGCCGTCTCCAGGCCATTAATCCATCTCAGTCAGTTGTTTTCCAAGGAGCTACTGCACAAAATGATACAATATTTCTGAAGGCAACACATACTGTGACATGTACAGAAAACAGCACCACTAAAAGACAAAGAAATTCCTACACAATGTGCTGTGCAAATAAGCTCTTGTGTGACAAACTGAGGTAAAAGCTCTTGCAAAGCTGATGTGAAAGCATCACACTCTGACTCCCAAGTTATTTACAGCAGGTAGCCAGAAGTACAATCACTAATAAACTAAATAGTAGCTTATAATCACTAAACTAACACACAGAAGTATAATCACAACTCTCTCATGTCTCATCATAGCAGTCTTTCAGGAGTCCAATGGATGGCATCCCTTTCTTACTGTAAAAAGACACTTTTTCTGAGACCTGATATGAGAGAAAGTGGGTTTGTGCAGGATTAAGGTAGAACTTTGGCTCAAAGCTGAAGCACTAAAAGAATAAGCAATGTAAATTTTTTAATGAGTTGCTCAACTGATAATTTTGTATGCATCAACCGTGCAACTGAATTTGTAACTCAATTAGTATTTAAAGTAATTAAGGATGAAAGACTATCAAAAAAAAAAGCTTAAAAGGCGGCTTTTGTAATTTACTGAAGTGGCTGATACTCCATCACTTCAAAAAAGGAGAATTAGTTATGTAACAAAGAAGAAAATACATTGTTTCTATTACAAAACCATCCACTAAAAATTAAATGAAAAATGCATGAGCTACTAACAGATGAAAAAAAAAACCAGAAAAGATCTCATAAGTATTTTCATTTCCCAGGTTCACAGGCAATGAACAACAACATTAACAGTGGACTTTATGCCAAGCAAACAGAACTGCAGGTTTTACTGATTCATTTTAATATACTTACATCACCACCACTTATTCCAGATGATGTGCATTACTGCCCTTTCACAGCACCTGCTCATTTTTGGAGTACATGTGGGAAACCATTGGAGTCAGACCAGTTACTACCTTTAAACCCTCACAGTCCAATTCATTGACATCCCAAAGTGAGTAAGGAATTTATAATTTTTTTTCTAGCTGTTTTTGAAATTTTGTATTATCTCACACAAATTAGCAAAGATGATTTTTCTAACACAAAATTGCAACAGAAACATTTAATTAATTACTCACCACTGTTAATTGCTGCCATTTAAAAAAAAAAAAAAAGTAGTAGAGACTTCATTTTACATATGGAGCTGTCCAGCACAGTTTTTGAGGTTCTGTGCATTTGTTTATTGTGTATGTCATGAATATTTCATTTAATAGAACCAGTTTTCTTTTCAGTAAGTGGAAATACCATTGCATTACCTACATCAGTGAACCTGCACCTGGAAAGGGGAAAGTCTGTATAAAAATAGCAGGTACTGTCTAGCAGGTGTAAAAACATTTATGAGTCACCTCTTTTATTTGTGTATGAATGAGAGAGGTTTTTTTCCCCCAGCTTTTACTGATACTGTGAGTTCTTTCAAGTACCTTGTTTCCAATGGCCTTTTTAGGTGGAAAGTTAAAAGTCCTCACTTGCTGGTATTTACTCTGTAATTTATGATGCAAGCTTCTGAACTCTGCATATCTTCGATACACATTCCATTCATCATCCTTTATCCTGATATAAACCTGCAAAATACAGACATGGAAGGAAACAGTGTAAAGACAAACCCTGAGATGATGCATCTCCTCACTCCTCAAAGCCTCATGTGATGCAACAGCACCAGAAATTCCAGGATCACGGAGCCCCAGGTACAGTTCTGACTGTGCCTTTGCTGTTCCTATTGTACAGGTCATTAACCTTATTTTCTCTCTTTTTCCCTTTCTTTTTCTTTCTTTCTCTTATTTTAATCAAGACAAACACAGCTTGCTTATTTGAACATGACTCTGGGGCAACCATGGCAGCACTTTTTGTTACCATGGTTTCCAGCATATTCTGCTACCCAGTGACCAAAGGAAAAAAATAATTTAATACCACTATAAAATTGATTTCTGTGTCCTCAACACAGTTCTTCAACTTTGTAAATTAGCTTTGTAGCATCAGAATTTCAAAACATAATTTTATCCCAAGTATGAAACTTAATTTTCTTCCTAACAAAATTACATCGAAAACTAAACTAGAAATTTTATTGTTTGGAAAATAAACAGTTCATTCTTTCTGCTTGTATAGGACATTAAGTATAATTTAACACAGCTGTAGTTTTTGTGATTCTGCTTTTGTTTGCCACTCATTATTTCATGAGCATATTACCAATTACATGCTAAATATTCACATTCTCTGGGAAAATTTCATGGAGAAGTGAAATATACTTCCAGAAGACTGAGTTTTCCCTCTTTTCTAGGGGAATAACCTTTCCTCTACAGGAATGAACCTACAGTTTAAAAGAACGCTGAAAGAGCACATCAGAAACTCTAAACCAAGCATCAGAACTCAAGATCCAGAGTGACCTTTTCCTAAGCTGCTTTCTAGAATCTGTCACTTATCCCTTCTGGTGTGTGTGCCAATAATCTCAATATTCTGCCCCAGGAATGAAGCTGAAATGGTCCCGATGGCACTGCCTTGCCCTGCTGCTCCACAAACCCCCAGGAATTCATTAGGAAGCTGTAAGACAAGGATCAGGAGAACCCTCATGTGAAAAAGCAACCCCGAGGAGTGGGCAGTGACAACGGTATTTTTGGGAATACTCAGAGAAAATGAACTTTGGATTTTGATGTGGCCGATTTCAACAGTGAATCGCAGCTTTTCCTGGGGACTGAAACATTAAAATGGTCCTTGTCCTCTACATTTGACAAGTCCTTAGAAAAAAATTATATTTTACTAAGGACTTGTGGTATTTCAGAGATCAAGGGATGTCAAGTGAATGCCTCCTCCCACAAAAGCAGCTCATGCAGCCTTCCTTTGGTTTGGTCTTTATCAAGTCCTTTTATTCCTGCAGACACCTAGTTTTTCAAATTTATAGGAGGCTTCTGCCCTTGCAACAAAATGCAATATATCATGCAGACATCATTCTGCCAAATTAGACTATTTCAGTGTAGAAAATACTAATACATTTTCTACAGGAATACTGCAATTCCAAAAAAGGAATACTACAGTTCCAAAATTAGCACATCTAAGAATTCAAAAGATTCAGAGTATTGTGTGAATTACAAATGCAGATGTAAACAAAAACTCAACTGGTTTTGGTAACAAGAATTCAGACAGTGTAATGATGGAACCACAATAGTAAGTCTGCAAGAAGTATTCAGATTTCTTTTCCACTTTGAAAATAAGGCCAGGATAATTAAACTCCTACAGGACCATCTGTTTGAACAATTAAGTACATCTTTCAAAGCAAATGAAGGGATATATGAGATGCAAGTATTTTGCATAATTCTAATAAAATTTATTTAATGTAGTAAAAACTATATTAAATATATCTAACCCCTCTCCCTGCCTCTTCTCACTTCCACCAGTACGTTGTTTGGAATTTTGTATACATTCCCAAGATTCATGATTCAATTTCCCTAAAGGGGTGGGGACAATTAAAAAAAAAAAACTTCAATTATTTTTAACTAAGTCATTTAATATGGAAACCTTAATTTAACTAAGCAGTTATCTTTGCACATGTGATTTGGTGAATCATGCAGTTCAACGTTACCTGTTAAGCTGTAACCCATAGTTAACTAATTAAGGAATCTGGTACACTGTAATTGAAATTTTTAAGGACTGCAAAACCATAGATTAATTTCTTAGATAAAACCACTAGAAAATTTCTTACTGTTCTTCTATGTACACAGATATTGATTTCATTTAAGCAGTAAGAAATGAAAATGCAACATTTGGAGCCCTGTGCCATATTGAATTTATTGACAATCATATAATAGAGTATGAAAGGTATATTAAAGTTCATGATGCAGTACAGATTTAAACCTTCATTATCAAAGAAGGGAATGCTATTCCCTTGCCAAGACAATGCAAATTCAGTTGGGAAATCAAACAAAGCAAATACTAAATATAAAATTATTTGGATAAACTTATCCTAGTGTAGTCATTTAAGGCACATAGTTATCCCCTTTTACCTCAAATACAGATCATACCAGCACAGGAAGATCAGGGAAGGATTACTTTTGCAGACAAAATTTTGAAATAATGCTAAATCAAGCAACTTGAGATGTACAGTTTGAAATTGTACCAAAAGTCATTAGGTCTTTTCCCATCATCTTCAAGGCATCCACAATTTCAGTCACGGTCTTTTGATGGGAAATGAGTGAAAGCTGTAGTTGCCAACAGACACTTTTGTGTCTTTTTGTCCCAAATTATCTCACTGTACCCCAGAGCAACACCACCTTTTGCTACAGCAAACACCTTTACAAATGACACATAATTACAGAACAGTATTTTAAGATCATGTTATAGAATGTTTAAGGGACTACTCTTAGTCCTTATTCTCTGATCAATTTTAAAAAATCAATTCTAAATCATTACAATTCTTTTCTAATGCCCGTGTTTTCCTGATATTATTCACTTCCTAACCTAGTTAAGTAATTTTCAAGGTAATGAAAACTTACAGACTCAATCAAAATCACTGCTAGAATGCTTATTTGTTTGTAGACAAAAGATTTTATTTTAATACTCTCTTGAATATCAAAAAATTAGTTAAGTAGCTTCTGCTGTTAATTTCGGAGTACTTTCCATTTAGGTCTCCCGTGTAAAGATTGATTGGTAACCTTTCTGTAGCTATGATTTACAGCAGCTCCAAGAAAAATTTCAGTTAATAAGTATGTATAATGAATTAGTCTGTTATTTTCTCATCACAAAAACATCCGAAGTCAAAGATTTGGAGAGCAACAGCAATAACGGTTGCAATTTAATATTGTGTTTATCAGCCAACTATCAGCTAACTTAATATTACTGAAATGCCCAAAATCTTCTGAGACTCAATTTGAAAGCACTGGTTTACTGATTGCATACTGAAATGAAAAATACTACTCCCATGGTCCTGCTTTTTGAGCCAATAGTTTCTTTAATAAGTTAAGAAATCTTTTAAGCAGTTCTGAGTCCAAAATGCTGTTAACAAGTCCTGGTTACAGACTAGTAACAGTTGACACAGTTCCTTGCTACTTATATATAAAAGCCTGAGGAAAATAAAGGACAAATGCCAAAATTCCAACTTGCTCCATTCCAGTGTACACAGACCAAATGCCTGCAACCAACACTTGTTCTTCAGGTCTGCAGGAGTCCAATGTGGGTGCTTTTCTTTTTGATGCAAAAATATAGATTGGTATATTGAGGATTCACTTTTGTGTCCCTCTCAATGCAGTGAGTAGCAAGAGACACTGACTGGGATATTAAAGACCTTCTTCTGTTGCAATGACATTCATGGTTATAGAAATTGCAGATTAGGCATCAAGAAGGATCTCCCCTAAATGAAGCTACTCCTGAATCTTCCCTGCAAATACGGGGAAGTTCCTGGTAGGATGATCTGAATATATATTAAAAAAAATGAATTCTTGCCAGAGAACTCTTTATGTGAGATCCACAAATACAGAAATGCTGAAGTTAAAGTCCTTGTGAGTCCATGGCCTATTCCTGAGGCAAGAAAAATGTCAGAAAGGGAGGGAACAATGCTAAGGGAAGGTGAGTAGTGAAACTCTACTAAACCACATATAAAATTCAGTGGCACAAGATGGAAGAGAACTTGTGACAATTCAGCAGCAGAACACTTCAAAGGACATAAAGAACACTGAGAATGTTTGTAAAGAACAAGTCCTAGGCTGGACAAGGTCATAGCTGCCTTAGAAGCACAGGAAAAAGATGTTGGGCAGCATAAGGAATGCAAAGGAGACTGAGCTACACTAAGGAAGCTACTGTGACCTTTACCACCTCAGTGAGCATTACCAGGGGATAAAAAAAGGGTGAGAGAAAAAAGCTACTCTTTCTATAGTACTGTATCTCTAACTTCCTTTCCCTCACTAATAAAAGAGAGTTTTCTGGAGGTCCTCTTATTTGTTAGTACTTTCAAATCAATGCCCAAGCATGTGACAACAAAAAGAAAAATCAGCAACTGGTTTGGTAGAGACAATCCAATCAGCATGAATACAAAAACATTACATGCACATTGGCACCTTTATTTTTCACTGTTAACTCAGTTAAGCTTGACTAGTGAATGTTTTCTTTACATTTGCTTTTAAATAACACTCTAAAATTTGGAGCACCATTGATCCATAGTTTTACCTTTATACTAATAAAGTTTTTTTTAACTCTTAAAACTCTGACTCAACTTTAATGTACATCTTAATTATTCAAGAACACTAAATTAAAGAGATTTTGATCAAAGTTCACTATTTAGAAATAATTGTTTTCAGTGGATTGGAACTATCCTTTTTTTCCTCTCAGGAAAGCACATTATAAAATAGGAGTGACAATCTATTTAGGAGGTTTCTATCAAAATTATATATATCTGCACTCAAAACATAGAGAAGAAGTAAAAGGTATGAATCCAAAGGGGAAGCATATCACAAAAAAAGGAAGAACTGATTTCATTTCTTGACTTTACTTCAGGAGAATGGGATTCTGTTTAGAATATAAATTCAAGCTCAGTTCTCCAAAGTTACCTCTGAAGTGTGAGAAATGAATACAAATGCAAGTT